GGTACGTGGTGAAACTCCATAATTACAGGATTGAGGAAAAACAAGACAATTGTACGTTTCACAAATACATCAATTATTACGACCATGGTTTCGCCATGGTGCCCGATGATACATTTACTGGCGAAACCAAGGTCGTTATAAATGATGTATTTGTGAAACGTACAATTTGTCTTGTTTTTCCTCAATTCTGCGCTTAGTATTAAACTCTGTACTTGCATAGATGAAATAAAAAACAACAACATTTAATAATTTGAGATGAAGCTGCTGGAACGTGTGAAGCATACGTGTTATTTTAAGTTTTGGCTTTAAAAAACTCTGCATAAAACAACAGTTTCGATGGCCAATCATAAAAATTATCAGTTTAAAAGTATAGCCACCTATCGTACAAATATAAAACTACAATATATTTTTTAATGTACGAAGTACGTTCAAAGTATATAGAAAAGTACCTATTTTTTTTTCTCTACGCCTTTATTTCACATTGTTGATAAAGTTCTTTTTTTTACATATTTAGTTTTGTTAATGAAATTTGTATTTCGCAAAGAGCAAACTGTCAAACTTCACTGAAAGTTTCTATAAAAATATAGTTCATTTCTTTATATGCATTTCTAAGGTTAACTGAACATTAAAATCGAATATAGAATTTGTTAAATTCACCGATATTCATTACAAATAACCATTATTAACATTTATGGTAACATACTATAATAGTCATTGAAACATTAAATAAAGGATTTTATTCAGTGTATGTTCTTTAAACATTTTTTGTTCCCTTAAAAAGCCCCCAGTGGCACAGCGGTAGGTCTGCGGACTTACAACGCTAGAATCCGGGTTTCGATACCCGCGGTGGGCAGAGTACAGATAGCCCATTGTGTAGCTTTGTACTTAATTACAAACAAACAATCCCTTAAAAAAATAATTGTTACCTTCTTATTTTATCGGGTGGGTTTCAGTAGCGTTTGAGTGAAAACAAGGACCGAGTTAAAAAAAATACTTGTTATCTTCTTATTTTATCGGGTGGGTTTCAGTAGCGTTTGAGTGAAAACAAGGACCGAGTTAAAAAAAGTACTTGTTATCTTCTTATTTTATCGGGTGGGTTTCAGTAGCGTTTGAGTGAAAACAAGGACCGAGTTTAAAAAAGTACTTGTTACCTTCTTCTTTTATCGTGTGGGTTTCAGTAACGTTTGAGTGAAAACAAGGACCGAGTACTTGTTATCTTCTTATTTTATCGGGTCAGTCGCGTTTGACTGAAAACAAGGACCGAGTTAAAAAAAAGTACTTGTTATCTTCTTCTTTTATCGGGTGGGTTTCAGTAGCGTTTGACTGAAAACAAGGACCGAGTTTTAAAAAAGTACTTGTTATCTTCTTATTTTATCGAGTGGGTTTCAGTAGCGTTTGAGTGAAAACAAGGACCGAGTTTAAAAAAAGTCCTTGTTATCTTCTTATTTTATCGGGTGGGTTTCAGTAGCGTTTGAGTGAAAACAAGGACCGAGTTAAAAAAAGTACTTGTTATCCTCCTATTTTATCGGGTGGGTTTCAGTAGCGTTTGAGTGAAAACAAGGACCGAGTTTAAAAAAGTACTT